TATATATATATTTACAAGGTGTACCAGTAGGAGCCCCTGGCAAGGGTATTTTATGATGCAATTTAAGATTCAGTGACTTGAAAATTTGTTCATTTTAACACAAAGATGTCCTTCCTTCACTGTTAGCCACCTATTTAAATCCTACTTGCCTTTTATTCCCTGACCTTAGACCAACTATATGAACTTCAGTTGTTCACACCTCATGCACCTTTTCTTTTGTTTACTGAGGCTTTTGTGGCCCTGAACCTCACATGAGATGGAAAACTGGCTAGCACTGTCTTTTTCCTTATAGAAACAGCACCACAACAATAGGGCACCCCTTGTAGCCATAGGCTGGAGCCATGTCCAGCCTAGCACAGGTAGCAAGGTTCTTAGAGAGAACTACTCTTGAATTTCACATCAGCAACCCATTGTCCAGGGGCAAATCACCTGGCATACAGCTTTTCCAAGTACTTTACTTCCATCTTACCCCTCTTGCTGAGTCCACCCTTGTAGTTCCATCCCAGAGGAGTTTCCTCCAGAGATAGCTTGGGCTTCTTTGCCCAGGTGGGTCACTTTGGACTCTTTGGGTGTCCTTCAATCTGTGGAGGGGGTGAGAGCAGACCACACGAAGCTGCATGTTGCCGTGGGAGTGTCCCGTACACATAGGTGTGGGGCTGTTTGCTGGGCCTACCAGTCACACACACACACACACACACACACACACACACACACACACACACCCTGCCACCAGCAGGCCACAGAACAAAGAAACAGGACAGTGGGAAAAGAGAAGGGAAGTAAAGGGCACTAATCAGATCCACCACCAGCTGGGGCCATCTGCCTAGGGAGCCTGTCTCTGTGACGGCACCAAGGGAAGGGTCACTAGGAAGCCTGTCTGTCCACTAGCTCATCAAGCCTCAGCACCAGACACTCTAATTTCCTTAATAACAGCTTACAGATCCTGCATCTATAAATGTAGCTAAACCCTTCTCGACCTTTCTTTATTTTTAGCCTCTCCTGCTACTCTGGATGTAGCAACTTCCATGACTTACTTTAATTCTAGATTCTAGTGTTGGTGACAAATGCATGTTTAGTCCTTGGCATATTGTTTCTGTGTGGGGGCTTGGAAGTTGGCATATTTTCAACATTAAGTTTTCCAGACTGAAGTCCTGATAGTCTTCATCTTTACTCATATAAGGGCCTATCAGGTACCTCATTTGCTTGGACCGTTCTTTCCTATCTCTGTTTGGCCTCTGTTGAAATATAATAGCTAAGAGTCTGACAAAGACTGCCAGATGCAGATTATATTAAAGACCAGACTGAAGGGAAGGCTTTTATTCCCCCACCACTTTTTGGTCTTTGTGATTTGAACTTTAGGGCTGATGTTTTTGAGACCCCTAAATGACTATGAAGTGAACTCTTTGCTTTTAGTCTCCGCAGCTTGTAGACACAGGCATCTTGGATTGTTTCATTCTCCTGTATTTGTTTTACAGTTGCCCACCTTGACTTTGATCTATAGTCTTACTGTTTACCCACCCTGCTCCTGCCAGTTCACACAACCCAGTGCTAAGTATCCCCATGAGCGCCTTGTGGAGTACTTGGGAAAGTGTGAAATTGACCTCATTGTGAGTGTCTTGTTCTGACCAATCCATCCATGAGGAAAGTGAGCCACACTGCAGAGCATTTTCATTTTCTCAGAGAGGTTATACAGCTGTTGTCTCTGTTACTTAGGATCTCTAGAGAAGAAAGATCCAAATTGAAAATTGAAACAAACTGAAGCCTAGGATATAATCTTAACCTTCATGTAATCTGAGATGTAAGTGTAGGTTCCTTTACTTTTAATGCCATCTAAAAGTATCCCATTAAGACTTGTAACTATTTTTTTTAATCCTATAGTGCCTTATTCAAAAGAAATGAGAAGAATTAAAAAAAGAAAGCCCTTCATAAATAACTTTGGCAAAGATACTTTTAGGAAAAGTTAAATCTATTGACTATTTCTATTTTCTTTTTTTTTATACATGTTTGTAGTATACAACAACTACATCTTTGTGGGGAGTTGGTACATGTCTGTAACACGTCTTAATTCCTTTAGTTGTTCTCTTTCTCTCTCCTCCCTACTTCCTACATCCATTCTTTTTGTTTGGTTTGGGTTGGATTGGGGTTTCCCGTTGTTTTGTTTTGTTTTGTTTTAAGACAAGGTCTCGCTGTGTAGTTCAGGCTGGCCTTAACATGACTATGTAGCACAGCTGGTCTCAAACTCACAGTGATCTTCCTACTTCAGGCTCCCAAGTGCTGGGATTATAGGCATGCACCTCCTTGCCCCACCCTCCTGTATATGTATACATTTGCAATGCAGAATGTTTATATTTCCTCTGTGCAGTTGGTACAAGTACATAATGCATTTTAATTACTTTTTTAAAATACCCTTTCCTTCTCCTCCTTCCCTTCTCCCTCAGTTGTAGGACCATCAAATGTAAATTGGTAAGGGGAAAGTAGTGATAAACCAACTTTGGCAAAATCACCTTTTGTTAAATCAGCCACAATTCTTTTCAAGAGGACAATGAGACAGAGACAAGAAATTGTCAGTAGGTGAAATCACAGTGGACACTACTGACTGTCTCTTATGTCTATCTCATTGTCCTCTTCAAAGGAATTATAGCTGATTTAACAAAACAGGATTTAGCAAACAAAACAGGATTTAACAAACCAAAGTAGGTATGTTCCTGTGGTCCCCTTATCAGTTTTCATCTGATGGCCCTACAATTGGTTTTCTTTTCCAACTTCTTATTTGGTGCAGAATTTCAATGATTAGCTTTCTCTCTGGACCCCTTGCCCAGAGATAAGTGGCTCCGACCATTTTATTATGCCTGGGAGGCTGGCAGCAATGTGCACAGTGTGTGCTGTGATCTAGGGGCAGGGCAGCATCTCAGGGCTCCATGTTGCTAGAAGATGGACATCTCCTCATGCTTCACTCTGTGTCCATGAGAATAGCCTGAGCTGCTGACCTTGCAGGCTGGCTGTGACTGGGCTAGGGACACAGGGCTTCCAAATGCTTTCCAGTGTACACTTTTCTGAAGCTCTTTCTTCTTCTCCTTTTAGACTCTAGAAGGAGGCTCCTATCGGGGGAGCCTGAAAGACCCCACAGGCTGCCTGAATGAAGGGATGACCCCACCTACACCTCCTAGAAACCTAGAAGAAGAACAGAAAGCCAAGGCCCTGAGAGGCAGGATGTAAGTCTACCTCCATCTTCACTTGTGTATGCACATGGGGTAGACACTGGGAAAGGAGACAGGGATTCGCATTTCATACATCCACTTTATCTCACCCCAAGTGAAGGTGACCAGATGCTCACACAGCTACTTTGACACTGACTTGAAGTTGAGGCTGAACTGTATTCTGTGAGATAAACACTGTTGTTGGCCATAACCACTGATGGCCATAACCTAAATCTGACAAATGTAAAACATACTGATAATAGGGAAACAATCGGGCTAGGGAGATAGCTCAGTAGAATAAGTGCTTGCCTGGCAAGCACAGGGTCCTGAGTTCAATCCCTGGTACCACAAAAAGAAAAAAAGAGAGGGAAACAACAGAGCTCAGGGAACTATGAGATAAATCTGCAGAACCAGGGAATCCCTGGTCATGGCAAGTAACCTGATGGAGGACACTTGAAGACATGTCTCCCCAAAGTAGGCAGATGACAGGCAGGAAGAGGAAGCCATTGTACACAAGGCAGGGCCTATGTCCACCCCTTCTCCATGGGTTTTAATTCAGCATCCATTTGTGGGTTTAGTTCCATGAGATCCTTCTCTCCACTTTGAATGGCTGGTGGTGAGATGCAGTGCACACTGCAGGCATTCCAGAAGGACCTGTATGCTGGGCAAGGTTTGTGTTGTATACTCTGATAGAAGGTTGATCTTCTGGTAATGTTGGAAAAGATACTGGAGGCCCGTAATATGAAACTGTAGCTCCTCTAGAACTTGACTTTCTTGTTCAGGGTTTGACTCTGCTGGAAACAAGTTACCAATGAGTCCCAGACAGAGCTTGACATAGTTTATAAGCAACAGCAAGAATAGGGTAGGCAAATGTGGAGGGTCCCTCCCTGTTAGTCTGCCCTTCTCCTTCAAATTCATCACTCTCTTGCTATTCTACACACAAAGAAAAAAATGGCAAAAATAAGTGAGGCTAAGTCCTACTGTTGCTGGGAAATATGAAAACTGAGTGTTTAGGAAGCAAAAATAGAAACATTGTAGTAAGAGCCTGGTGTCCAAGCAGAGCTGTCATGTCCTAATGGAGAAGATCAAGTAGCGTGCAAACTCTGTAATTTCATATTTATCCCCACAGCCTCATAGATGCTCAGGTGGGACCAGAACATTACTGAATGGGTATAGGCTGAGAAATACCATCTCCAAAGGGACATTTCCTGGGACTTGCGCTGACCCTCCTCAGTTCCTCAGGCAGCTATTCCACTGGGGAGATAGAACTGGAGCGGATGTCCCAGTCCTCTGTCAAGCCAAAGCAAGGCTTAAATTAGGGTAGTGAAATCTTCTATCAGGAAAGTGACCCCATGCAGTGGTAGGTGATCCTTGCAAAGCCAGTCACCACTCTTGTCACTTAGGATGACGAAGCTACAAGCAGTATTTAAGGCACTGTTTAAACATGTTAGCTTCTCATCTTGCTGCAAGGCACAAGTGTGTTGCCTCCCCACCACCACCACCACCACTGTAACTGTTTTTCCCTCCTGTCTTGCTCCACACTTCTCCATGTGAGCTATCCTGAAAATCCTGCTGTAGGATGATGCATTCTTCTTCCTGGGTATCAGCCCTGTTTCCTGCTAAGCTTTAGGGCTATTTAGGGATATAGCAAACCAAGACTCAATCCAGAAGATGATAATGGGATACAGAGATTAAATGAGAGTTCCATGGAAAATAGTTATTTTTCCAGAAGAAGAAAAAAACTTGAGAATGTACTTTATTTTCTTTAGGCTGTAGTTACCACTCATTCAACAAATACTTGTTAGACACCTGTTGTGACCTGTTCGTGGGATGTGTCAGTGAAAAAGTGAAACTGTAACAAAATAGCCATCACCCTGTAAGGTTTACATTCTAATGGGAGAAATCAGATATCAGAGTAAGTTAAGTGGTATTTTGAGAGCTGGAGAAGGAAAAAGTAGATCAGCCAAGGGGAGACAGGGAGTATATATGCAGCCCTGCTGCAGTGCTCCATGGTTCTAGCATTTGCATGAAGACCAAGATGAGGGAAGAAACCTTCCATGAGCAGAGGCATTCTCAGCAGGAGCAAGAGCCAGTGCTGGGTCTCTTAGGATTCTCTGTGGAAGAGCAGCCTTCCCTATTGCTGTAAAAGAGAAGTTAGTAGTGCGCCCAGCTTGTAGCTGGAAGAATTGCAGTTGGATGAAAGACTATTACATGTAAGTAACTTTGCTAATAAAAATTGAGCATGAAAAATTATTACTCCCATCACTTTGTTTGACAGTTAATCTCACACTGCCTTGAGGTGCATGTAATTTCAATGTTTGCTATCACTTTGATCTGTCACAATCTTCCTAGGTACTTCATCAGCCCTTTGAGGGAAAAGCTACAGTCACAGGCAGCACCAAGCAATCCCCTTCCCCAGAGACTTAAAAGCCTGGACAGCCCATCAGTCAGCAAATAACTGAGGATAAAAATATCTTCTGGAGACAGTAGATTCATCTGGAGAGAGCCCTCTCATCCCTACACTCCTATTCTCCTTTTCCTGTGGGCTTTATTTTACCACAATCTTCCAAGAAGTAACTTGGATCATGCTAAAGATATATTTAACTGCTTCTCTTTGGCCTTGCCAGTTTCTTCCTGTGGCCTAAAACACATGATTTTCTGTGTTGGAGAGAGAGAACTGATCGGAAATACTGGGCATGCTGATAAAGGAGCATGTACTTTTTTGCTCCCTCCCCAGTACTCCAAGGCCCCAAACCCTAGGGATTTAATAGCTTCTCAGTACTGCACAGACCAAGAATTTGGATGGATGTTTGTCTAGGGTCAGAGAGTTCCAATGCCGCACGGCCCCATCTGCAACATCCTGGAACTTTATTCCCTTTACAATTGGGGCCAAAGATGTGCCTGTGTAATCTGGGCAAAACTCTGTCAGATAGTAGAGTCAGATTCCAGTGGGCTGCACCACATTCTCCTGTCCTCCACAATCACAGGGAACCCCAGAGAGCCAGACTGAGTGACTTCACAGGCAGTGGGCTGCAGCCTTTGCACTCTTACCAACTAGGTTCAAATCCTGCCTCCCTCAGCACTTTGTAACCTTGGGCAAGGTACATATGCTTCCCTTCTGAATGTTTTCATTTAGATAAAGTAGGCCTTTACAGTGCCTCCCTTGTTATAAGCATCTTATAAGGGTGGGAAAACCCAGATGAGTAACAACACAAGGTAAATGCTCTAAGAGGTAGAAATAATTAACAAAGAAGCCTAGAAAGCTGTTGACCTTGTTGTTATTCAGTCCTGCATTCTGGGGCAGGCAGTGCTGCTTTGAGGTCAGCCTTTCTGGCCTTGACTAGGGATTTTCCAGGGTGGTTACGATGGATACCTATCTGAGGAACTGTAGCTTTCCTATGGTAAAAGTTTCACTCCATCTCTGTGATATCCAAATCTATGGGACCTTACAGGCTGGCTGTCAAACAAGTCTTTTTCTAGCTAGTTGTGGTGGTGAAGCACCCAGGAAGCTGAGGTAGAGGCCAGCCTGGGCTATGTAGTAACTTCGAGGGCATCTTAAATTGTATAGTGAGATGAGACCCTGTCTAAAAAAAAAAAAAAAAAGCTTTTGTCCTGATTGGTGAAGAATGGAGCTGAGATGAAGGAACAAAAGTCTCATGATTAAGGGCCAGCCAAATAGCTAAGCGGACTAAAGCACCTGCAAGCAGGCGCAGGAGCCAGGGGTTCAATCCCTGGGCCTGCCGTGCCAGCACTGCCCTGAGGCATGCTGAGAAGGCAACTGAAACTGAGTGTGGTAGCACACACCTGTAATCCTAGCTCTTGGGAGGCTGTAAACAGGTGGATCACTACAGAGTCTGATCTAGTAGTGAGACCCTGAACACCCTGTAGACCCTTTCCTAAAATTAAAAAAAGAAGAAGAAAGAAAAGAAAGTCTCATGATTATCCCTTGGCCTTGGGTCCTTATTCTTTCTACCCTGTGTCTGTACAATTGTTCAGAGACAGAGAAACATAGAGAAGAAAGAGGATTCCAAGGCAGTAAGTGACATCCTTCTGACTGTTATGTGTTCCCTAGGGAAAGTCCTGTCTAGGCTCAGCTCCTCACTGGAGATTCCTGTCAAGACTGCAGTGCTGGGGATGGGGAGATGGTTCAGTGGAATAAGTGCTTCCCTCACAAGCGCAGGGGCCTGAGTTCAATCCCCAGTTCCACCAAAAGATAAAAATTAAAAAAAAAAAGACAGCAGTGCTCACCTTTCTGTGGTGTTTAGGATAGTATTTTTGGTAGTCTTAACATAGGGTCCCTAAGTAACTTTTCAGTGAGCTCAAATGTGCCGACTTGTGCTTCACAAAGAAGCAGAACCCTCACTGTTCTTCATCTCTTGTCCAGGTTTGTCCTGAATGAGCTGGTACAGACAGAGAAAGACTATGTCAAGGACCTGGGGATTGTGGTGGAGGTGAGTAGATGGTGCAGGGTGAGTGTTACTTACCCTCCCAGGATGCATGACTGGATCCTGCTCTGCCTGGGTATTTGCAGAAATGAAAATAAAAATGATATAATTCAAATAGAATATATAGAAACATTTTTCCTTTCCCTTGAAATATTTTAAGATAGAAAGTGTTATGGTCCTAAATGTGAGAGCATTCAGGAGGAACTTATGGTAAGAGTTGGATCGATTTTCTTAGGCTACTTGTTGTTCCATGTAGACATACAGTCTTCAAAGCTATGACCACCATGAGTGCAAGCCAGGTCACTCACAGTGGAATCTGGTGGCTTATATATTTCCTTAAGGAGAAGGCTATAGACAGAAGACAGCTGTCAATAAGCAAGATTGACAGGTCCACAGTTAAGAGTCAATTTGGAGGAAGTATGACAGCTCCCTACAGGGATTCACTTTCAAGGGACTAAGACACTTAAATTAAAAAAAAAAAAAAAAAAAAAAAAAAACTTAAGAAAGTGAATGGGTAATTTAGAAGCCTTAGAGCCCCATTGTTAATCATCATAAAGAGTATGAAATCTAGAAAGTGAATTGTTAATGTCTAAATTGTCTGCTGGGTTCTAAGATTTGTCTGCTGAGCCCTTGTCCTATGAAATCTGCTGACTCATGGACTTAGGTTCGCCTACCCTGAACCCCATAGAAAGAAACTAACCAGACATATAGAGGATCAGAATTCTACTTAAAGCAAGTTATTCTTGTCTTCAGTGGGGGCTGAGGCCTGGAAGGGGTAGCAAGAACTTTATATGCAGCTCAGCTCAGGAGCAGCGGTTTTAAGCATTGGGGGACTGATTGAAATCCAGGGAAGTCAAACATCAGTGATATGAGTATAAGACCAGTCATATAACAGCTAGGTGCCTCAGAGAGGGTTGCAAGCTTGTTATGATACCTTAAATCCTGATCTTAAAGCTGAAATGTGGTTATATGTTGCAGACTCTAAAGTATTAACATATAATGACTTATTTCTAGGCCAGATATATCTTTAAATATCCAATGAACTTGAGATATGAGAAGGGAAGACAACTGATTGCCTGGGGGGGGGAGGTGGGTGTGTGGGTGTGGGTGTAGGTCTGGGTGTGTATGGTGGTAGGGATCAAACCTAGGGCCTCATGCCTATACTACCATCCCAGGTCTTTCTTCAAGGGACTAGAGGCAAAGAGAAAGGATCTAGAAACATAAATGTTTTGTCTGTCATTCTGCCCAAGGAGGATCAAGTCCTGATAAAGCAGGGGGAGCCAGGACAGCACTCACACTTTAACTCACACAGTACGGAGCTGTTAGGGACTGCAAGGTGGCTGGTCTGGAGGTCTTTCTCAACATTGTCCTCTACTAACCCTGCCTCTGTCCCTGCAGGGCTTCATGAAGAGGATAGAGGAGAAGGGTGTCCCTGAGGATATGCGAGGGAAGGATAAAATCGTGTTTGGGAATATCCACCAGATCTATGACTGGCATAAGGAGTAAGTGTCTGTGCTGCCAAAGCCAGGTATCCTGGGGGCCTGGAATTCCTGAATCCTCTTCTGACATCCAACCTAGGGTATAGGGCTTAAGGGGCATCTCCTGCCATTTAGCTCATTTTTTTAAAAAAAATTTTTTAATCTTTTATTTATTTATTTGATACAGGGTCTCACTATACAGCTCAGACTCATAGTGATCCTCCTGTCTCAGCCTCCCCAATGCTGGGATTACAAGTGTGCACCACAATGCCCAGTTTCAGTGTCTGGCACAGTGTGTTTCTGGAGCTTGGCACAGCATGTGGTACTGGGGAACGAACCCAGGTCCTTGTGCTTGCCAGGCAGGTGCTTAGACCACTGAGCTATCTCCTCAGCCCATTTAGCTCACCTTTGAGAGATAATTCAGTTCCAGATAGCATGGCTTCCTTCTCTTCTCTTTTCTTTTAGTTTTTTCCTGGGTGAACTGGAAAAATGTATTCAAGAACAAGACAGACTGGCCCAGCTCTTTATTAAACATGTGAGTTGTCACTCTGGCCATCTCTCCTCCACTTCCCCAAGCTCTTACGCACTCATTTTTAAAAATTCTTTTTCTGCTCTGCTGAATTCATGTACCTACAGTATATGAATAGCAATGGAATATACATCTCTGACAAAAGTAAACAAAAAAGGGTATATAAATGGACTATTTTGTAGTGGAAAAAATATATATATATATCTGTATATACAAAATAGCATGAATATACAGCTACTTTCTCTTAGTTTAATGAGAAGACGGTTTTGAACTAATAGTCTTTAGACAAGATATCATGTCTGCATCTTGTACTAGGAATAACTAGTATAAAGAACAATATACAATGTATTAATTTTTGTAACTGTACTACTAACCTGTTTTGAAACTATCTCATTGCTACTTCTTTCTCAATAAAATTATTAAAATAAAAAATATAAAGCAAGAATAATAGCTGTCAAGAAATATTAGTTTATTATTAAGTAATCAGAATTTGCATAAAATTGAATGAATAGATTTGATATCATTTAATGATCAGCCTTGCTGAAATTCAGGCTATACACAATGATTAAAAATTTAAAGACATAGTTATTATATGCTTCCTTATTTTAAAGTATAAAATTTAATTTCCAGTTA